CAAATATTATAATTTAGTCAAAGAACTTTTCGCAGTCCATGCATCCTCATAAGTGGTATTAATACCAGCCAAGACGCCCCAAAAAGAGGGACGAAAGGTACCAGAGGGACATTCAAACTCATAAAGTAGCAACACCAGTACACCAATTTTGAACTTAATTTGCAATTTTGATCTGAACAGCTCTTGAAAAAAATTGAACAATAAATTATTTTGTCATTTCAGTCTTTCATTTAATTTTGAAACTTATCCACTGCAGTTAATTTAGGACTGTTTCGACCACATAATGGATTATTCGAAAACCGAAAGAACAGAAATGGACTGACTGCAAACCAAATGTTGAAACAGTTCTGAATTAACAAGAAGAAATATCTGAAAAAATATTAAACCCTTATCGAGACATTTCAAGTTCAAAATTTTTCAGATAATGTTTAGATCAAAATGGCCGATACAGACTAAAATTCATTTACTAGTGTACCATGTCAATGCTGCATTACTATTCCCGAATCGTTATTTTATCTCAAGAACGCTGCAAAAGAGAGGCGATATATACCAAAGGAATAATTAAACTCATAAGTCAAAATCGAACTGATAATGCCATTACAAAAAACCAAAAACCACCATAAGACAAACAACAGTATACAAAACACAACATAGAAAAAAACAGGGGCGTGGGGATCTCAGGTGTACACTCCAACCAGGTATGGTTTATTTTTCTACAAAAACCTGCAGAAAAAGTCCCGCTTGCGATAAATTCGTTATACAGTTCACTTCTGACCCCCTACGGACCATAGAGGGTGAATAAAATCCATAGAGGATGGATTTTACTAACCCTCTATGGATCCGTAGGGGGTCAGTAGCGAACCATATAACTTATAATGGTCAACCAACTCGTGATGACGCCCATACAAATTTTGAAGGAATGATTTCAGCTTCACCAATTGGAACTCTTAGTTTATAAGCTTCCTTGATATATTTGTCTAAATACCTGTCGTGATAATATAAGCAATCTAATTTTATCAACTTAATGTATACTTTTTCAGTGGAGGTGACTATTTTGATGCTTATTATCAAATGCCGTACTGTCGAATTGGACCATACCTGGTTGGAATGTACACAGGCTACATTCTTTACACAACGAAATGCAAATGTAAAATAAATAAGGTAAGACAGTTTCAGGATAGAGGCAATTAAAATTTCAATTACACCACAACAGTAATACTTTTTCCATGGTAGCATATATTTTTTGGAATGAAAAACGGATTAACACAATATGCTTATATGGAAATATTACAATCCTGGTGATGATATCATGTCACAAAACAAATGCTTATGATGTGTGCTAATAATATAGGTTAGTCCGTGTACAGATTGGTCTCGCTCCTTTTCGATTTTGTTTGTTGCCTTGATTTGTCTCTTACTAATCGATTTACGATACTTGAATATCGGTAAATTACTGTCGCCCAGTTTTTGTGGGTACAGACTGGGAAAGGCGAAGCCTAACATAACATAAACTCCACATTAGAATGGGATTTAGTTTGTGCAATGTCTACTTTGAATTTTACATATGTGTGTAATTGTGTACAAAGAACAACCAATTTATACTGAAATAAAACCAAATATTCGTTGCGAGTTTATGCAGTAAAGTCACGTTTACTTCATGTTTTTAAGTTCACAACGCATTAACAAGACCATTTCACAAGTTAACCCGAAGAAACTTGCTGTCTAGTTATAAGCTTTCTATTTACATTTACATGGAGGATATTCCTGTTTTAAAATCATTTCAACAAATATCGTTTGTTTTAAATAACATTAACGGTACTAGTTTTAATGCACCAGATGTGCATTTTGACAATAATTGGTACCGCAAATGTTATTCGACAATTAATGTCTCTTCAGTGATGCTCGGGACATCAAGATTGCTATTAGTGTTAATAAAAACAGGGATAAAAAGAAAGAATGCAAAATTAAGGACCAATCTAACTCCCTCAGGTAAAGTATTAAACAATGTAGTCAATGGCCTTTTTAAATCAACAGAAAACATATTTGCATATTTATAAACCTTGACAGATTCCTTGGTCTTTTTTCTGTTTCAAATTGTTAAGAGATTATAGTTTTTATTGTAATAAAGGGACTACATTGTGATTAAACTTCTGAAGTTTTCCTCTAAAGATAAGTATATGTTTCATTTAACTCTATGATTACACATCGACCCGTCAACGTTTTGAACAATCACTGAATATATTTTACTTGTCGAATTGGGCATCTAATGCAGTAAAATTGGTGCCATTCAATGTTATTTCATAAAACCTACAGAAATAGGCCATGCGCAGTTTTATTAATCATCAAATAAAGCTGCACATGACTGCTCTTTACTTATATATACTGCATTCTTTGTTTCAGTTTGTAAATATAACTATATGGGCGGTGTTTGCTGCGTCAGCTTTAGCTGTACTCTATGGTGTATATGACGATATAAATGGTGATCAGTTATCTACAGGTGTTGCCGCACTGTACAATGTCTTACACAAAACAGTCTGGGGTGCTGCTGTCTGTTGGGTGATATTTGCATGTGCTACTGGAAATGGAGGTAAGTTTCTTAGTATATGTAAACACCATAAGTGTGTCACTGATTAAAAACAGTACATGTAATAATTTAGAGCAGTTGCAATTGTCAAGGGATTATTCAAGACCTTAAATAAAACACAAATAGATGTTCTAATAGTCTGTCGCTAAACAAATCAATCGGAAAAGAACGAAATAATTCATATCACCTGAAACTATCAAAAGATCAAAATAACATTTATTACAACAGGCGTGGATACTCTGGCAGTGTGAGCAAGATCGATAAAATACGGAAACATGTGGAAAAAAAACTTCAATATTTTCAAAATGTTGCTCTGGATAATTCCTCAAATTTTGTTCACCAAGAAGCTTCTTTCGAAGTTTCGTAAAGTACCACGAAGGTTTTAATAATTTATCAATGCGTTAAAACTTTAAACCCTTGTATGTACACATTAACTGCAGAAAAATAAGTCCATTTATCAGTAAAATCGGAAAAAATAAAAAAAATAAAGAATTTGGAAAATTCTGCTTCTGATACTATTTTTTTTATTTTAAAGAAGCTACTGTCTATGTTCGTAAAATTTCATGAAGGGATGAGAAAGGTATTGATGTCCCCAAATAATGATGAACCACAGACGTTATCTGAATGCTATTACAGGGGTGTTCAAGTTCAACCCATGAGGGTCTCGCATTTTGAGAAGAAACATTTCGGATAGCTGTTCAAATTAATCTGAAGAAACGTAGTTGTTCCTTAATGTACACAAACAACATGGTGGATGTAAGAGTCGATAAGAGTAGAAGTTAATATCTGGTCGATAGTAAAGGTCATAAGATGGTACGAAAGAAATCTTTGTCCAAAAATCAGAACAGTTTAGCTTCAAACAATTTAAACAAAGGAAACAAAACACGACACAAAAATGTTACAGTACACTTAATCTTTAAGATATTGATATGTTTAGCCAAACACTTCACATTGTACAATATATTTTGTTAAATCATATTTTTCAGAATCTTTCTTAAGAATGTAAGACACAATTTATCAATGCATGTCTTTATTCCAGGTTTCGTAAATACAATTTTGTCCTGGAGAGGATTTGTACCTTTGTCTAGACTAACATACTGTGCCTACCTGATACATCCACTTGTTATGTACTTTTACTACCAATCACGAAAACAGTTTTTGTTTTGGGATGATCATGAAGTGGTAAGGCTGATAGTTTCAAACAAGATATTCAATTTGAACAGTATCAGTTATGTTGTTGAATCATCAGTTTCGTTAAAAGTCAACACTATCGTTATATGTTCAAAGCACTTTTCAAGATATGCCGTCATTAGTATGAATTAAAAAGATGCGGGGAGTATGTTAAAGAGTTAAGTGAAACCAAAATGACATAAAATTAAGAGACAAGAAGGAGTTCAACATATGCGGTCTTCAACAATATACACGTGTCTATACAATTATAACTATATGAAAGTCCTCAATAAATTGATATTATCAAAGTCACGCCAGCAACTCAATCAAAAGGTCAAAGTTATTATAATAATGATATATACAACTGCTGGCGAGTTTCATTATTTTGGACCAGTATTTGCACATGAACATATGGCGGGGATTACTAAAGGTACATACGAGAACGTGCAATCCAAACAAGCCGAACAAACACCTAACTCTATAAAGGTATTATAGGCAGTAAAACACAGAACCAAGCAAATTAGTGACACATAATACTGTATCAAAGAATGATTTCAGCTTCTGACATCAAGCTCAAAGACCTTACCCTGCCTAAACGAAATCATGCCGTCCTGCACTTTAAAATTACTGGCTGTTCGTCGGAGTATATATCATACAGTAACAAAAAAGTACAGGTAGACATTATCTTGTGCAATGGCCAGAATTTGCTCATAAAACCAATGCATATTTGAAACATGTATGATTGTTTTAGTCTTCACGGATTCAAACTATATGGTCACATTTAGAAGTTAATCCCAACAATACGAAGCACATTTATTGAACAACGTCAGTACATTTACAACCTTTATTAATCTATTCAGTCAAACATAACAATTATAGAAGGACAATTGTTTACATATGGGTGTTACAACCGTTTAGAGCTTGGTGCGAAATACCACATTTGATTAAATTCTTAAAAATGGAATCATACTTCCACAATAAAACCCTATATATGTTTTTAAAACTAAGACAAAGTTTTGACAATCTTATGATATCTTTATCCCTGTTGTAGCATATATATCTCAAATGTTTTAAAATCCATTGATATATCACAAACTCTTATGCAGTTGTTACAGTGCACAAACGCATAATTATGGTATTTGAGTTCACGGACAACGCAAAAACTAAGAACGATGCATCTTTAAGGTTATTTATATGTTAATATATTTGATAAATTCATTTATTTTTGTTTTCTTTTATTTCTTAGATATACGAATTTTTTGCACATCTTGGGATGGCTTATGCAGTTGCATTTGTGGCCTCACTGGTGTTTGAATCACCAATGATGGGATTGGAAAAAGTGGTGTTTAGGAAAGACAAGAAGAAATAAGAACTTTGAAAATGAATATGAAAATACCTTATTAATAAAATGTATATGAATTAGTGTCAGTATATGTTATATATTTTATCAATTTTACTTTTCAAGGGAGTCTGGATTGGAAGGGGTTTTTCAATTCTGAATTCTTTAATTCTATGCCATTTCTCTCCATTTTAGCCCCCCATTATTCACTATTTAATTGTAAAGTCATTTTTCTTATTTCTTTATCCCCCCTATTCTTATGTAAACCCCATACAGACACTGTAATATGGCTACATATGGCGAATACCTATTGCTACATTATTGGAAGGTACAGAGAATTATACATTCAAAGTATAAGCACATGAAATGTTTTGTTATACTGTTGCATGAGGAGATGAACTTAGATTTTAATACTCTACCGATTCTTTCGAATTTTTAGTACTCTAATCTGATTCGCATCGTCGCTAGAGTTGGTTTTGATTGTTGATAATTTTTCCTAATTTTCTTTCTTTATCTTTTTTTATTTGTGTTCGACTAGTGGAGCAGGAACTGCTTATCAATTCGGAACACCATAGATCACCTCCGGTTTTAGGAGGAGGTTGTTCCTGTTTCTCAATTGTAAGTTGTCTGTGAAGTTCTTTCTTGCTCCGTCCCATCCTACTACATGTCTTATTAAGTTTTTAATTTTTACAAAAAATAATCATCTGATAGCATACAATAACGTTTGGATGGAAGAAAATGTCGGTAAACATGCGTATATTACTAGTGTGGGAATTCTATTATAAAATTTATAACTAAACTAAAACATTTGTGCAAGACCTTTGGTGATATTCGAGTACCTTCATTTTCAGTAACCTTGATAGTAACAAATATTTAGCTGGATTGGCCTCATTTTTAGCACTATTAGGGATATTAATCTATATAAAAACGAGAAACCAGAAACACGTATGAACTACATAAACAGACGACAACTACTGTAATCAGATTCCTGACTTAGGACAGGTGCAAACATTTGCAGCGGGATTAAACGTTTTAATGGTACCAAACCTTCTCCCTTTTCTGAAACAATAGTATAACATCACAACATAGAAAAACACACTATAAAATATCAATTGGAAGGCTTAACTCAATCAAAAAACGTAAATTAACACACAATGAACGAATAAATTTGACCTGAGACACCTGAATGCAAATACACAGTTAATAAAAAAATATAAGGGATAAATAATTAAAGTCAAAAGTAAATAAACAGGTTTAAACAAAGTTAAAGTATGATATCACTGTGAAATTTCAAACAATTTATAGAATATCATCACTTTTGAAGAAACCTGCGTCATATTATACACAGGTAAATGAAAATAATTTTGTTGATAAGTATACTTCTTCTTCTGTGTGTATAAAATCTTCCGTTTAGGAATACCAAGAAATGTCTTTAATATCAATAAAACTAATCTAACACTTGGTACATATGGGGTGAATATCAACAATAAAAATATACAATTAGTGCTAGATAAAACTTCCTGTACAGGTCCAAGAACAGCATCTAAGGAAAAATGAAATAATTTTGATGTTCATATAGTACGAAGAAGTGGAAATTTGTAGTAATTAAATACCAAATAATCAAAGCTGGTGTATAGACAAGATCCATGTTAACATTAAATAACAAAAAAAGCATTACAAATAGTATCAACAGGTCAAATTAAAAAGAAAGTACGATTTGAGAGTACTCGCAGTTACTGACAGCTAGTTAAAAGCCAAAACAATTAATAATAAAAAATCATGCATCAGAGACTAAAATCAACCAAAATACATCCCAGGGATTTAGTATTTTAACGCCATGAACAGTCAAAGAAGACATGATTTGTGCAATGCCAAAAATAAATGTATCGACAGGTAGTAGGATAGTTAGGAGTGACTTCTTGATAGATAAAAATGAACGTGTGTGTGTCTCTATACATCCCATTTGAAAAGAAAATACAAATGTAGTTATGTTTTAATTTGCTAATGACAAAATCGATATTAGTGCCAATGTAAACTATATTCAGAGATCTAATTACAACATTGGTACGATAACCCTTACTAATAAGTTTGTTTAAAGGTTCGATGAGTTTACACGGATCACAAAAGATTTCCGATGTCTTAAGATGTCTCCTTACATATCGGCCACAGTACTGTTATACGTGCCATCATACAAATTGGCCGTAGTACTGCAATACATGCCATCATACATATTGATCGCAGTACTATAATGCATGCCTTCTTACATATCGGCACAGTACACAGTACTGTAATACATGCCATCATACATATCGGCCACAGTACTGTAATGCATGCCTTCCTACATATCAGCAAAGTACTGTAATACATGTCATCTTACATATCGACGACAGTCCTGTAATGCATGCCTTCTTACATATCGGCCACAGTACTATACTCCATGCCTTCTTACATATTGGCCACAGTACTGTAATACATGTCATCTTACATATCGACAACAGTACTGTAATGCATGCCTTTTTACTTATTGGCCACAATACTGTAATGCATGCCTTTTTACATAGCGACCACAGTACTGTAATACATACTTTTATACATAGCGACCACAAATCTGTAATAAACATTTTGCTGGATAGTTATTACGAATACTTGTTAGCTCTATATTGTAATATTACCATTACTGTATAGTACATCACCCGTGAGAGATTTTTTACACTTATTTTTTTTTTTAATTAAGCGACTTAGTTTTTATATCAAGCAATGCCAAATGATAAGTGCATTTATTAGTTTTCATTTCATTTGCTGAGTTAACAGTTTTATTTACACACTTGGTGTTTTGTACTAAACATTTGAATTCTAAATATTTAGATTCCTTCAAATTTGTATAACAGTCGCTCTCCTTTTATTTTTTCAATAATACATTTAATAACTAAATATGTCAATGAGATGGATTGTTGTTCTTATCAACATCCATATTGGAATATATTTTATATGTATACATCGTGTTCAAAATAAACCCCATTAAAAGTATTTTACATAGCTAAAGGTTAATAAACCAGACAACCATTACGGTATGATTGAATGAGTATAACATATTGGCTGTAATTGACTGTTGGCTGAGTGATAGACCATTGCGTACATGAATTCGTGCTCGCATTTTGGGGTAACGGACCAATCAATATTACCCTGGTAACAGGTAAAGAAGTACAACCAAGATTAAAAAAAAATTTCAATGGTATATTTTAATGCTATTGTCAGTGTGTATTTTTTCTTTGTGTTAATCATGTTATTCACTTATGACAGTGATGATATCCTGTGCTGAGGTCAGTTGTAATCTCCGGTGTATCATAATTGTTTATTTACTCAGACAACAATCTTTAATAAATGTAGGTAAACCATATTTGAAAACCTGTATTTGTACTGCGGTACAAGTTCGTGGTATACCACATTTAAACGTTTACTAGCTTCAGACGCACCAATATAAAATGTGTTATTTTCTTATTCTTACAATTGGTCGATACCGCTGCTGGTGGACAGCTAATACCCGTGGCTAATCATCAGCTCAGTAGAATGTTACATGTACAAGTGCTTCGATGTCTTTTATACCGATATTATATAGTAAGGTGATTTTTCTAAACTAATTGTTATTGTACGTTCTTACATATGAATAAAAGGAGATGTTTATGAATAAAAGTCAAACAGATAGCAACCCAACGAAACAAATACCAACGAAATGTTTATGTCCGTTTTGATATTTCACAACGACTGGTGAGATATAGAAGAGATGCTACAAAAATCTAGTCCGACCCGCCACATGTCCATGTCCTAAGCCATGAACCTTGTCCGTGGTTGTCCTCAATTATATGCAATGTTTTTCGTCTTTTAACGGAATTTTATGTTAATGGCAGATCTTTTATGATTGATTGATTATATGTTGCTCAACGTCCAGAGGCAAATATTGCATGCATGTTCAGGACGATGACCTTTGATGAAAGCCTCTGTTAAATGCATTCGCAACATTTTTTTTTACTTAAATTCAAATTTCTTCCAGTTGTTGTCCTTTTTAAGTAAAGTCCACTTATCAGTTTATTACTAAATTGATATTGTAACTATACTTATATATTATGAGTGTGTATATTTGTGTGTCGTTTTCGACTTACAACCCACATTTCTCTTATGCCTCCAGAATATGCCTGACATATCTGCCACTTAACGTTAAGCCAATCTTTATAGACAGTGTAAATATGCATGCATGTTCAATCATTGCAATTTTTGGTGTTTTTTTTTTGTTGTTGTAATATTTCATTACAAAAGCATTTATTTGAAGTTTTCAAAATAATACTTCATAAATGATAATATTTTAGATTTTGCTTCGATATTTGGAAAGAGTATGTTTTTTAAACTTTAAACATAAACAAAGCTCGAACATAAAATGGTATTGCATCACATATCTAAAAAGGATTACGTTGGATATAACATAAGATTCAAAGTACACTGGATTATATCTTTGATAACAAAGGCGATGACAAGTTTGGTATTGACCTAGTCCAGTGAAAATATGGGACGTGTTTTTCTACCAATATATTGCAAAAATCTCGGGTAGCAGGGTATATTATCTTGGAGTTGATTGAAAAAAGTCCCCGTTGATTTCATAGAGCTGTACAACTCAATTGCACAGATGAATGTTTACTGTTTCCTATTACTACTACTCAAATGTTCAGTTGCTTTAGAGGATAATTATCATAATATAATACAAAACAGTTATCAAACATTGAAAGGATATTCACGGCATGTAAACCAGACGGCTTTACTTCACTTAAGATATTAATGCACTGAATAAAGCACTGAATGTACGGAACATATTAGACAATCTTCAGACATTTTCAGATGAGTTGGACAAGTTCTCAGAACTATCTGATAGTGTTATAATTGGAAATACCACTAATGTTAATGGTTTTAATGTCACTTCGACTTTAAACCAGAACACATATATTGATTCTTTGCCTACAACGGTGTATGCAACTCCTGAACAAAGTGATACCACACGTGTAAAGGAAACACCAACTGTTTCCGTAACCACAGAGTCAATGGT